CTGGGACAATCAACCAGGCAGGACCCAGACGTGCCCCTTGCCTATGAGGAGGAGCAAGAAGGGCAGGTGGAGGAGGCACAGCAGCTCCTCATCTCATCATCCCCAGACGAGGCTGTGGCAGGCACGACGGTATCAGGGCCACCTCCGATAGACCACAGAGCGCACCAGGAGCTGCTCTGCAGGGTTGCCCAGAACTTGGCCCACAGGCGGAGGAGATGGTTGAGCGGGAGGATCCTATGGTGGACATTCTAAGCCCTGGGGGTCCCTCCAGGATTGCGCTCCCACTCATAAAGACAATCCAGACCATCTACAAGACAGTCTGGCAAACCCCAGCCTCCAGCGCACCAACGGCCAAGGGGGTAGAGAGGAAGTACTTGGCCCCTTCCAAGGGCTACAAGTTCCTATTTTGTCATCCGGCCCTCTGTTCTCTGGTCGTCTCATCCATTATTGAACGGGAGCGTCATGGCCAGCAAGCCCCAGCCCCCAAGGCCAAGGAGGCTAAACGATAGGACCTCTTCGGAAGGAAGGTGTACTCCTCTGGGGGTCCCCAGTTACGGATTGCAAACCAGCAGGCGATCCTGAATAGGCATAATTTTAACTCCTGGGTGGCAGTTTCAAAATTTAAGGACCTCTTACCCCTGGGCTCTCAGCCTGAGTTTACGGCCCTTGTAGAAGAGGGAAAGGCAATAGCCAAGACCTCTTTGCAGGCCTCTTTGGACTTGGCAGATACAGCAGCCAGAACAATCGCCTCAGGTGTGATGATGCAGTGCTTGGCGTGGCTTCAGGCTTCGGGCCTCCTGCCAGAGGTCCAGAACACCCTCCAGGACCTCCCCTTCGAAGGGTCTGGCCTCTTTTCAGATCAGACTGATGCCAGGCTGCATAGCCTCAAAGACTCCCGGGTCACCCTCAAGTCATTGGGAATGCACACTCCGGCGACTCAGAGGAAACCGTTCAAGCCTCAGCCGCCTCAGCAGCGGCAGTACCAGCCTCGTCCTAGGCAGGAGCCTTATCGCAGGCAAGGCAGGGACAGTAGGCACAGGCAGAATAACGCGCCTAATCAGGGCCAGGGCAAGCCCCAGCCCGGCAATAAGCAGGGGGTTTGAAGGTGCGCTCGAGGACAGCGTACCAACCCAGCTCCCAGATCCTTCCCCAAGTTTCTTGAACCGGTTGTCCCACTTCTACCTTGCGTGATCCCGTAGAACATCGGACCATTGGGTCTTACGCACGGTACAAGTGGGATACATGCTGCAGTTCTCCTCCTTCCCTCCTACCCACCCCCCTTCCCCGTCCAGCTTCAGGGACCCCTCTCATGAGCAACTCCTTATGCAGGAGGTTCAGTCACTCCTCGAGGTGAGTACGGTGGAGGAAGTCTCTTGGGAACTAAGGGGGAAAGGGTTTTACTCCCCTTTTCTCATCCCCAAGGCAAAGGGGGGCCTTCGGCCCATTTTAGACCTCTGCGGACTCAACAAATTCTTAGTCAAGGTCCGCTTCCGTATGGTCTCCCTGGGCACTATTATCCCGTCCCTGGATGCGGGGGATTGGTGTGCTGCCCTCGACATGAAAGACGCGTACTTTCATATCGCCATTCACCCTGCTCACCGGCGGTTCCTACGGTTCGCCATAAACCAGCACCATTACCAGTTTACGGTCCTCCCATTCGGCCTGGCAGTAGCCCCCTGCGTGTTCACGAAATGCATGTCAGTAGTGGCAGCCTTTCTGCGAAAGAGGAGAATACGGGTATACCCGTACCTAGACGATTGGCTCCTCACTGGTCGGTCCGAAGAGGAGGTCCGTTCCCATGTGACGGTGGCCCTGGACGCATTCCGCAGGCTGGGTCTCCTCGTCAGCAAGCTCAAGTCTTCCCTGATACCAACGCAAAGGCTGGAGTTCATCAGGGCAGTGCTGGACTCAGTGCAGGCGTGAGCGAGCCTCCCAGAACCCAGATTCCTGGCCATCCAGCGCGTGGTAGAATCGCTGCTAAGGTTTCCCCCTACCACAGTCAGATGCTGTCTGCAGCTTCTAGGGCACATGGCAGCGTGCACTTACGTGGTCAAGTACACTCGGCTGAGACTCAGGATCTTACAAGCATGGCTCGTGCGATCGTATCGCCCGAGCAGAGATCCTCTAGACCTTGTTATGACGATTTCTGCCCAGGTGTTGGACTCCCTGCGCTGGTGGCTGAATCGGACGGTAGTATGCAAGGGTATCCCCTTCGCCGCGCCGCATCCTGCTCTGATGCTAGTGACAGATGCGTCAGACCTCGGCTGGGGGGCTCACTTAGGGGACCTAAGGACACAGAGCCTGTGGTCCGGGGACGAAGTGTTGCTCCACATCAATGTGAAGGAGCTCAAGGCGGTTTGTCTGGCCTGCCAAACCTTTCACGCTACTTTGGAAGGTCACAGTGTGATGGTTCTGACAGACAACACCACTTCCATGTTTTATATAAACAAACAGGGCGGAGCCCACTCCTCTCCCCTCTGCCGTGAGGCTCTTCTCCTGTGGGACTTCTGTATCCATCCATCTCGAAGCATCATACCTTCCGGGAGCGTGGAACGAGCTGGCGGACCGCCTCAGCAGGTTGTACCGCATGCATGAGTGGTCAGACATCTTGCAATTGGTCTTCCAGAAGTGGGGGTTTCCCCAAATGGACCTCTTGTCCACCAAGGACAAGAGCCAATGTCCACAGTTTTGTTTGTTCCAGAACCACAGTCCGGGCTCGGTTGCAGATGCGTTCGCGATCCCTTGGGGCGGGAGTCTGAAGTATGCCTTTCCTCCGCTCCCGCTCATCCACAGAGTCCTCCTCAAAGTTCGCAGAGACAAGGCGACGATAATTTTGATCGCCCCCCCCCCTTGGCCACGTCAACACGGGTTTACGATCCTGCTAGAGCTGTCAGTGGCTGCCCAGATTGCCCTATCCCTGCACCAGGATCTCATCACGCAGGACTGTGGGCGCCTGCTCCACCCAGATCTACAGTCTCTGCATCTCATGGCGTGGAAACTCTGTGGCTGAATGCTATGGAGAGCCAGTGCTCTCTTCCGGTAAGGCAAATTCTCCTTGGCAGTTGGAAACCCTCCACTAGGGCTACCTACCTAGCTAAGTGGAAAAGATTCTCCTGCCGGTGTGAGCCGAAGCAGGTACAGCCGCTCCAGGCCACCATTCCAGTCATCCTAGAATACCTCCTACACCTCAAGCATCAAGGTCCCGCCCCTTCCTCGATCAGGGTGCATCTGGCGGCCATTTCGGCGTTCCACCCGGGGGAATCCAGGTGTTTGGTGTTTTCTAACCCCATGGTAGTGCGGTTCCTCAAGAAACTGGAGAGGGTGTTCCCTTACTCATGCCCACCGGACCCGCGCTGGAACCTAAATTTGGTCCTCTCCAAGCTCTGGACCCTCCGTTTGAGCCCCTCACCTCTTGCTCTCTTCTCCACTTCTCCTGGAAGGTGGCATTCCTGGTGGCCATTACGTCCGCAAGGAGGGTGTCCGAATTGAGGACCCTCACCTTGGAACCGCCTTATACAGTCCTTTATAAGGACAAGGTGCAGCTCAGGCCGCACCCTAAATTCCTCCCTAAAGTAGTCTTGCAATTTCTTATGGGCCAGGACATGTGTTTGCTAGTGTTCTTTCCTAAACCACACACGGACCCGAGTCACCGTATCCTGCACATTCTGGATGTCCAACGGGCCCTGGTGTTCTATTTGGAGCTGACCAGGCCTTTCCACACAATCGTTTGTCGCATTAGCCGACAGAATGAAAGGTCTTCTGGTCTCGGCACAGCGTATATTGTCATGGATTGCGGACTGCATTCGCGCGTGCTACGAGCTGGCTAAGGTTCCAGCCCCGGTGATCACAGCCCACTCGACCAGGGCGCAAGCATCTTCATCAGCTTTCCTGGTGCAGGTCCCGATCCACGAGATTTGTAAAGCAGCCACTTGATTCTCGGTGCACACTTTCACAGCCCACTACGCGGTCAATCAGCAGGCCAGAGATGATGCGGTAGTTGGCAGGGCTGTTCTCCAATCAATTGTTCCATGACTCGTACCCTCCTCTGATGGTAAGCTTGTGAGTCACCTAATGTGGAATGGATGTGAACAAGCACTTGAAGAAAAAACGGTGCTTACCTCTCGTAACTGTTCTTCAAGATGTTTTGTTCACGTCCATTACACTCTCCATCCTCCTTCCCCTCTGAAGGGGGGTCGGGTTGGCAGGGGTGTATATGCACCGACATGGAGGCGCCACTCTAGGGGACACCCCTGCCAACCCGACGGGAGCCGCTAAGGGAAAAAGTTTCCGATGTCCGTGCACGTGGTGCACGCACACCTAATGTGGAATGGACATGAACAACACATCTTGAAGAACAACAGTTACGAGACGTAGGTAACCGTTTTTTCCAGAAGGTTCTTGCTAGACTTAGTACTTGGAAAGAAGATTGGTTGTTCTATTTCTAGGTGATCTTCTTTCCCAAAAAGTTTTCCAAGTAATCTGTTTAATCCTTCATTAATTAATTCCATACCATTCATGCTCAAAATGAGATTATTTTCAGGTCAGTTTAGAACGTTTTGGAATAAAACCTGTGTTCAGCTTTCTTGTACTTCTCCCATTATTAGCTTGTTTATACCTTCCATATTTCTATGAATCGTAATACCAGCGACAGCCAGTTGTATATCTAACTGGATTATTTTAGTCATTGATGAGAACATCTGGTTGAATATCTTGTTCACCAAGGATACCTTCCCTTGCTCTGATTGAATGAACTGTTGTACATGTGGTATATCAACAGAAAACTGTATGTGTTTCAGGTACCACTGTGTCCACTTTAACACACCTATTATTTCACATGGTACCCCTTTTACTTCCTACTACCTACTCTCTTTTGGTGTCTACTGGTTTGACAGAACAAGCAGTGTCTAAGCCACTTCCCTTTATATAAATGTTTTGGAGATTTATATAAATCATTTATTTATATAATGCTGTATATTTATGCTGTATTCTTATTTTTACAGTTCCCAGCAGTCAACCATCCTCAATCTTTGGAGAGGAGATATTTAGGAATTTTAAGTGGTGTTTTGCTTGACCTTATGAAGGTAGGAAAAGCTGCATTATTTGTTTGTGTATATTATATAGGGGAAGTTCACAGTGACCACTACATTTATATTTCCTAATACAGTCCCTTTTTAAAAAAGAATCTTTTGAACTTTTGGGGGGAGGGATAGCTCAGTGGTTTGAGCATTGGCCTGCTAAACCCAGGGTTGTGAGTTCAATCCTTGAGGGGGCCAGTTGGGGCAAAAAATCAGTACTTGGTCCTGCTAGTGAAGGCAGGGGGCTGGACTTGATGACCTTTCAAGGTCCCTTCCAGTTCTAGGAGATAGGATATCTCCATTAATTTAAATTTAAATTTAAATTTTAAACTTGTTTTGATAAACTTTAACAACCTCCATTGTTTGCAGCAGATCTTTGCTATTTCCTGGGGGAAAGCCCCGAGGTCAGAAAAATACCTTTTGCTAGTGCCATGAAATTCTGTTCAGATTTGGCTGAGTTGTAATCTGCTAACAATCTTCATTTCTCTGTTCTGTATTACACTGTTACTGCTTGATTTTGGCAACATGCCAGAAACAATGAATATTCCAAGCTTGGGTCCCCACCATCACTCCTGCACCATACACTGCACCCTGAACAGTTAGAAGCCGAAACTCAGCCTGGCTGTTGTTGGAGCAGCTATACTGGCAGGGGTGGAGAGTGAACCATCTTTGCTCCCATCAGCCCCCCTCCCTTCTCAGCATTGTAACTGATGGAGCACTACAGGAGACCTTTTCCCTTCCCCACCTCCCACCCCCACTTGATGGGAGTGAGATGGGAATTCCTGGAGCAGACACAAATACTAATAATTCATCATGGGAACCAAGATAGCATGAGTTCTAAACTCATCTTGAATATAGTGGGCACAAATATCATCCATTGAGCCATATTGCCTTTCAAAAAAGAGCTGCTCAGAGCTTTATCTTTTTCTGTGGAGTCTAAAATTGGGCTACTTGGGCATAATCCACTGTCTCAGTGTCTTGTGCATCCCCCTTTATTGGCTGCTTTCATATTGTTAGCTAATGTAATTAGCAGAAGCTCAATTGGTAGCAGTCTGTGTTGCTGCGCTGAGGACTGAAACACAGAGGTCATGATGCATGATAGGAAGGGTGTTTGTAATAAAATTTGTCTTTCTCCTTCCTCTTTCTTGTAACTAGTTTTTTTTGTATGTTATTTCCTAGATTTTTAAGTCATTTGGGTTGCAAAATCAAGCACTTGAAAATTAAGAAATGCCAGAATTAAAGTTGTCTGTGAAACCTTAATTCTAACTTTCTTGTGTGTATTCATGGGAATTATTATATGGTTTTTAATTATATGATCTCATATTATCTTTTCCATAGGACTCTTTCCTCATTCAGTACACAGAATGGGTGGTGCTCAGGGGCTGTTTAGAGAATGAGGTGGTTGTCAGAAGAACCCCTAGAAGTTAGAAGTATGTTAAGAATGGGGCTGTGGACTGCAAGAGGAGAAATGATGGTTTTGTAGTTAAGGCAGGTGAATGCTACACAGGAGAATTCACTGATATCCATGCCTCTACTGCAAACTTCCTAAGTGGTGCTGGGCGAATCACTTAAAATTTTGACATGTGGCCCCTATTTGTATGTTCCTCAGTTTCTGCATGCCCAGACACATGGAGCCTGATTGTCAGAACTGCTGAGCATTCTCAACTGTAATTGAAGTCCGTTGAAGCTATGGATTTTCAGCTCCTCTGAAGTAAGGGGCTGTGTCTGGAGGAATGAGCACCAGGGTGGGAGTCCAGTGGCCCTGAATTCTAACCCTGGCTTCACCAGTGATTTGCTGTGTGGCCTCAGGCTCTTTGCCTTACTTTCCCCATCTGTAAAATGGGGGAGAATAATAGTCTCCTCTCACAGGGGACTTGTGAAGAAAATTCATTAGTATTTGTGAGGCAGTTCAAACCTGTACTGATGAGAGCCATAGAAAAGATCATAAAAAATTAATAATTCCGTGCGTTGTATGGTGTGTAGTACAGGCAAGTCTATGCATTGTACTAGGAGAATAAAAAGAATCCTCATTTCCTGAGCACCATCCATCCCGTGCACTGAATGAAGCAAGGGTCCTGTGCTGGGGGGAAATAGTATGTAGTCGCGTAATTAACAGGGTGTTATAATACAGACACACACAGGGGCTGAATTAAGGTTGCACAGGCACCTGATTCTGTCATTTCCTAACTTTTAAATGGTTGACAATGCAACGTGAATAACTTTATTTTAATATAGGTTTTGTTTTGGGTGTTTATTTAGAAAGAGGTAAGGGATACAGAAAGATGAATTATGAATATAATACATTTATCCTCACTGATGATAGTATATGTTCTATTGACAGGACCGGCTCTAGGCACCAGCGTCCCAAGCGTGCTTGGGGCAGCACTTTTCAAGGGGCGGCATTCTGGCCCTTTGGGGCAGCACTCTGGCCCTTTTTTTGTTTTGTTTTGGCGGCGGTGGCAGCACTCCGCTTGTTTTTTTTTTTTTTGCTTGGGGCGGCAAAAAACCTGGAGGCAGCCCTGTCTATTGAGCCAATAATTTCTAAGTGTGGCTCTGATCCTGCAAAGACTTATGCATGTGTTTAACTTTAGTTTCCATGCGATTACTCACTGTATGTAATGGAACAACTTTACACACTGTGAGTAATCTGTTTGCTTTCATGTTCCACCATGGTATGTATTCGTTCTAAATATGAAACACAGATAGCCTTAGGATATCTTACTGCTTTTTAAAAGCTGTATTTTTATATAAATTACCAATAACTGTTGGAGGATAAGAGAGAACATAGAAATAATATGTTCTCTGTGGTCATAGTAGACAAAAATGTCCTATTTTAGTTCAAGCATGAGTATTGTTTGCTTATCATATTAACTTACCACAACTATTAATATATTTCTTACAGAACTTGTGCAAATAGCAGTCATAATATGTTGCAAATTAGTCACCCCTGTTAGTTTCTAACTTTATAATTAAATGTTCATTCTCTAAATATCAAAAACATTGTTTGTCTTCAGAAATAGAACAAACATCACAAATTTATAATAGGAATTTCCTTCTGACTACTGTAGATGAATTACTGGTGAAATCATAGCCCCACGAAATCAATGACAAAACTCCTTACATTTCTGTGTGTGTGTGTGTGTGTGTGAGTTTTAAAGCATATTTTTATAAATAGCAAAGCTCTTTGAATGACCTTTGTTTATCAAACCTCTTTTATTATGTATCATTTTTGTGTGTATGTTTATTGCTTCTGAAAGCAGAATTGTTCTTCACTCTCACACTTCCGTGGCTTTATCTTGCAATTAGAAACAAGGAATTGAGTTTCTTAGAGACCTGTGCAGCTCAGTATTGAGATGAGTTCAATACAGTATAAATGGAGTGATGATTTGCTGTTAAATGGTATAGTAATATAACTGTAAATCATTCTTGCAGTTGCACATAATAATCTCACAGAAACTATTGAGATGAGAAGCTCAAAACTATTGAGCTACAAGTTTTGCTGTGACTGGTTTAAATACTAATACTTGTTTAAAATCCAGACTTTGTTTTCCAAAGAACTTGCTGAAGCTGGATCCAGCAGATAGATACTTGACAGAGCAATGTTTGAACCATCCTTCGTTTCAAACTCAGAGACTCTTGGATCGTTGTGGAAGTTCACCTTCACGGTCAGCTAAGAGAAAACCTTATCATGTAGACAGCAACACATTGTCTAACAGGTAAATACAGTAACCAGATCCTCATCAGCTTCATTTGTTACATTAATGAGTAAGTTCCTTTCAGGTTTAAATATTAAATCATCTTCACAAAAAGAACACAAGTTGTCTGATAATTTTGTCATATTGGTATACATATTGTTTTCTATGTCTGAGGTTAACATGAGAGATAAAGCCAGTTTTTGCATGCTAAGAGATAAAGCCAGTTCATCCCTAAAACACACTTCTTCCACACTCACTTTTGGTAATCGATTAAAGATAGGTTAAAGGCCCAATTACATAAAATAAAATAAGTGTGTGTGTGTGTGTATATATAGTATTTTTTTGTAGTTGTAATAAAAATATGGAGCTGATAGCACTGCCTGTTGTTAAACTTGCCCAACACTCCCCATTATAAGTCACTGTTTTCAGTTGCTTACAACTTTGTCAAACTTCAACCATTCAAGCTGAAACTTTCCTTTTTAGGTGTCTGGCTGTGGCTGATATTTTTTGAAAAATTCAGCAAAAATGGTTCAGCCGTTTCTGAAAATGCGCCTAGGGTTTGCCTATGTTAAAAAAAAAAAAATTTGCCTTGGAGCAGAGACTTAAAATTTGGCAGACAGATGGCATTTGTGACAGATGTGCCTTTTGTTGTTCCCCTGAAAATCCACCCAAATTTGGCCAATTGCATTTCACACATATCAAGTACAGTCAAACCCCGCAATAAGGCGCCCCGCCATAACGTGAAATCGCATATAACGCGATCACAATTTGGCCCCTGTTTAAGACATACAGTGTGTACCAGTGGTCCCCAATGCCATGACGCCTGCCGGGACATTGATGTGCCCCCACCTAGTGCCAGGCAGGGGAGAGAAGCTGCTGCCCCGCGCCTGCCGGGGACAGTGAGCACCGGCGCCCACAGCCCTGTTGTTCTCTGTCCCCGCCAGGCGCGGGGCCACGGCTTCTCTCCGGCTTCAAGAGGAGCCGTGGCCCCACGCCTGCTGGGGACAGAGAGCTCCAGGGCTGCGGGTACCGGTGCTCTCTATCCCCGGCAGGCACGGGGCCCCGGCTCCTCTCCGAGAGCTCCAGGGCTGCGGGCGCCGGTGCTCTCTGTCCCGGGCAGGCGCGGGGCCGCAGCTTCTCTCCCTGCTGGGCACTAGGCACTAGGCGGCACTGCACTGCGTTGGGGACCACTGACAGGCTTGAAACCCCGCTATACTGCGACCCCGCATTTAGCGCGATGTAATTTTTTGGACCCCAAACATCGCGGTATAGCGGGGTTTCACTGTATAGGCTTCTGAGATTTTAAAGAGACAAAATGGGTGAGGTAATATCTTTTATTGCACCAATATAAAAGGTTGTTACAAGGAGGAGCGAGAAAATTATTCTCCTTAGTCTCTCAGGGTGGACAAGAAGCTTAAATTGCAGCAAGGGCAGTTTACATTGGACATTAGGAAAAACTTCCTAACTGTCCAGGGTAGTTAAGCACTGAAATAAATTGCCCGGGTAGGTTGTGGACACTCCATCATTGGAGGTTTTTAAGAGCAGATTAGACAAACATGTTTTGGGGATGGTCTAGATAATATTTAGTCTTGCCATGAGTGCAGGGGACTGGACCAAATGACCTCTTGAAGTGCCTTCCAGTCCTATGATTCTGTGAACTTCTTAATGAAAGACATTACCTTACCCATCTTGTCTTTCTAATCTCCTGGGAGCGACATGGTTACAACACCACTGCAAACATTAGATTTTGGCAGCTGGATATTTTATCTGATCTGGGCATGCTCCAGCCTGGGCCTGAGCAGGACAGGACTATCTCTGCAATAGCAGCTCTGGGCTGATGCTGGGTCTAGATACCTGAACTGGGAGCAGGGACACAATCTCAAGCAGTGTGGAGGAGGAAGCTGTCTGGTTCAAATACACAGGGGATAAGAGCCAGACCTGCAGTGATAGCGAATAGATTGGGAAAAGGAGACTGGGTGTGGGGGCTAAGATTGGGACTGGAATCCAGGGAGGGAAATGAGGTTTGGGGGTGGTCTGGGAGTCAGTAGTTGGGATAAGGGTGAGATCAGCTGAGGAGCTGGGCAGGAGACTGGGACTGGCTGCAGAAAAAGACTGGGACTGAGAACGATGGACAGGCAACCTTAATCTTAGCATTTCCTCACTTTTGAGTGCTTGATTTGGCAATCTTAATGTTCTCTTACCATAGCTTTTTGTGTGCAATACATAATATACATCTAAACTGTGAAGTGATGATCACAACCCAAAATAACACCACTTACTCTTAGGTTATGATTCAATTTGTGTGAATATTTGAAGTGAATTCAACTATTAAATTAGAAATCTGAATTATTTTTTAAAAAAAGAAAAGACCTTTTATTTTATTTTTAATTATTTTTTGTGAATAAAGGACTCATGTCTACTTTTTTAAATAGCCCTATAATATATGATATTGATCAGTTCTTCTCTCTCAAAAGTTTGATCATGTAAATCTAATTTATTTGTAAGTGAAAGAGATTTAAAAAATATACCGCATTATAAGCATTTAATTCCATAAATGCTTCTATCTCTATTGTGGAAGATGCTAGATAAAAGTAGACATTATATGCCAATGTGTAAGAATACATGCATAGCATTTTATATTTCAGACCTTTAGACAGATGGGGCAGGTGGATGAGGGAATCAGGGAGCTCCAGTCAAAAGCAGGGTCCTTTGTTGTGATTGACACTAGGAGTTCTAGAGGATAGGCATCTTCCCTAGTGGCATCCCTCCGAAGGTATGCAGAGCAGTGACTGATCTCCTCTGGATCTTAGACCATCTGCAGTCACAGGCCTTTTCTCTTGCACGCCTCCTATGATCCACTGAAATTGAGCACCTATTACCTTCACTTTGAGATCTGGGACAGCAAAGTTCATCTTCTGTAAATCACCTGAGATGTGCAGGAGAGAAACTCTGTTGTTCTTACAGGTGCCTAGGAGATCTCCTCTTCTCCTGTTCTGCTCCTCTTGTGCACCTTTGAAGGCATGATGTGGAAGAGATAGATCTAGCCCCATAAAAAACTTTGTGCCCAGTGCATAAAATTTCCCATGTCAACCTGATTAAAGTTTTCAGGACTCCTTCTATTTCTTATATTTAAAAAAAGTTAGTTTAAGGTTGTTGAAGTAGTTATTATAACCCTATGCAAAATACATAACTAGATAATGAAAGCATTACCATTAAAATCCTAAGCATAAAAAGGATAGAAATAACCAGTTATGATTATTTGCATAAAAATTGTATCACCTTTTCAATCTATCCATTGTTTGACAGTACTGATGTGACACTTCACCTTGCACATTTCAATAACTGTTACATCTGATATGTAAGATGTACTCAAGAACTGTTTCACCAGAACATAGCTATTCTTCTCTCCCCACCCTCCACCCCATACATATATTAGCGCTGTAGATATTGAAAGGATTCAAAGCTGCTGTTGGAATGTATAAGTTAAGTTTTAAAATGTATTGTCATTAACTAATTGTACGAATTAGAAGCAAAAATTTGGCTATCAGTACATAATACATTGTTGTTTCTTAGCAGCAAACATTTGCAAATTTATTTGTTCTAGGGATTTGGGATGGTGGAATTCCTGGTGCCTAATTTGCAGTATATAAATCACCACAGTTAAATTAGCTCTCAGTTTTGAATTGAGTACTCCATTTAGAAATTAGTGTATTTTATTGAAGTTGGGAGTTATTAATATGTATGGTACTGTGTTAATCCTTGTTCATATGCTTTTTAATGTAGAACTCAAGCCAGCAAAAGCTCTGCTGTGCAGTCACATCACAGATCGAATAGCAAGGATATGCAGACTCTAGGGGCTGGACTGCAAAGAGGAGAAGAGGTTCTTCCAGCAAATGAAAGCTTTCTAAATGGAAATCTTCCTGCAGCTGCACACAGTCCAATGCATACAAAAAAACCAAGTAACCCACCTGGATCTGGCAACAAGGATCTAGCCAATAACAACATACCACATCTTCTCAGTCCAAAGGAATCAAAGACAAAAACAGAATTTGATTTTAATTTGGACCCAAAAGCTTCTGATGGTCCAGGTACAAAATATCTGAAGTCAAACACTAGATCTCAGCAGAACCGGCACTCATTTATGGAAACGTCTCAAAGCAAAACTGGCACTCTGCAGCCAAGTGAGAAACATAGTCGCCACAGCTATATTGATACTATACCCCAGTCTTCAAAGAGTCCCTCCTATCGGACAAAGGCAAAGACTCATGGGGTTCTAACAGATTCGAAATCAGTGGGTAATCTTTCTGAGGCCAGGGCTCAAATTGCGGAACCAAATAGCAGTAGGTATTTTCCATCAAGCTGCTTGGACTTGAATTCTCCTACCAGTCCTACTCCTCCCCGGCACAGTGACAATAGAACTTTACTCAGTCCTTCGGGCAGGAATAACCGAAGTGATGGTACCCTGGATTCCCGAAGACCGCCAACAAGACATTCCAAAACCATGGAAGAGTTGAAATTGCCAGATCACATGGATGGAAGCCATTCACATTCATTATCTGCCCCACATGAATCGTTTTCATATGGTCTAGGTTACACAAGTCCCTTTTCCTCACAGCAGCGCCCTCATAGACATTCCATGTATGTGAGCCGAGACAGAGTGAGGTCCAAGGGCTCAGAGGGTGGCTTAAGCGTAGGGCAGGGGATGGCAGCCAGAGCAAACAGCCTGCAACTGTTATCTCCACAGGTGCAGCATAGGTCACTCACACGATCTGTTGGCTCTTCACGGGAAGACTGTACAGAAGATACTAATAGGGTTAGTTTGAAATGTTGTCTATTGAAGAAGTTATTTTTCCTCTGTATTTCTTGCATGCATGTAGGCTCAAATGGTCAAAAGTGGCCTCTAATTTTGTATGGGTTTTTTTGTTTTGTTTTTGTTTTTTTACTTCAAAAGAACGGAGGTTAATTTTCTGAGATGCTGAGGTATCCACCATTCAAAATAAGAGGGCACTTTTAAAAATTTGGGCCACAATGAAGCATACAGTCACTTCTAGCAAAATATTGAAAATGTGAGAACAGTCAAATTGTGTAAAATAATGTGATTTGATACGTGGTCACTGAACCAGTGTTTATGCTAACTGATGTAATTTTTACTAGGTTATTTTTCTTAATTAACTTTCTCTATTTGGATTTTGTAGCATGCCTTGCTGTAAATAGTAATCTTAAACATTTCTGAATTGGGATTTTCTGTCACTTAACCTGCAGCATGAGTTTCTTGATACCGTGGTCACGGTTAAAAAGTCAGCATTTGCTAGCGGGTGTGACAGTCCGGTATCTGAGATACGGCTGTATTTCTCTGCGCTAAGGGTATATCTGCACTGCAGTTGTGAGGTGTGATTGCAGCCCGTGTAGACCTACCCGAGCTACCTTTGATCTAGCTAGCTTGAGTAACCGTAGCAGTGAAGCCACAGCAGGCACAGCTGGCTCCACGAGCTAGCCCTGCCTGCCAAAGACCCTGGGTCCATACTAGAGTGGCCATCGCCTGTGCAGCCTTTCAGACTTCCCAATTGCAGTGTCAATGTACGCCTAATGTAATAAATAACTGGGGGATGTGAGAGACCGTAGTGTAGGAATCGTTAACAAATGCTAACTCTCAATGGTGATCCCTGTATGTGTCACAAACCCACCTGTCGAGCTTGATAATTTACATAGTCTATGCAGAACCATCTCCTCTCACTTTGCTTTTACACTGCCCCTTTCTGGTCAGTGTGAACTGAGGTTATTTTGGTTATGCACTTCACAGTTATGGTATCTCTCTGTGGAGACTGTAGTCTAGCCTTAATTTGTGTATTATGGATCTTCTCCAAAGAATGGGCCGGATTCTGTGCTGATTTGATTCTTTATTCAGTCCTATTGACTTCATTGAAAGAACACATAGGGTTGTAAATCAGTACAAAATATGTCCCAAAATCTTTTTTTTTTTTTAAACTTGATACTGTTCTTGGAGATTTTTGCAAAGTTGGACAGTAATATGGTACAAAGAGAAGTACTTACATACAATGCGCATTTCACATAAGTACCTGCAAATATAAGCAGCATGGTGAATTCTAAGGAAATTTAAAAATGGTGTGCAATTTGTTGACAAATTTGAAAGGGTTTCGAAAAGAGCTACAAGAATGATTCAAAGTCTAGAAAATATGCCTTATAGTGAGACACTAAACAAGCTCAATCTATTTAGTTTATCCAAGAGAAGGTTAAGAGGTGACTTGATCATGGTCTACAAGAACCTACAGGGGAAGAGATCTCCAGGCCAACAGAAAAGGCCTAAACAAATCCAGTTGTTAGGAGCTGAAGCTAGACAAATTCAGACTAGAAATGAGGTGCAAACTTTTTAAATAGTGAGGGTAACTAACCATTGGAATAAATAACCTAAGGATATGGTGGATTGTCCATCACTTGAAGTCTTTAAATCAAGACTGGATATCTTTCTAAAAGCTATGCTGGAACTCAGACAAAAGTTATGGGCTTGATGCATAAATTATTGTGGGAGGTTCTTTGGCTTGTGTTATGCAGAAGATCAAATTAGATGATCATGGTGTTTCCTTCTGAGTTTAAAATATGTGAATCTATGAAATACTTGTAATAGAAAGGTTTAGGAATATATCCAAGGATGGCATGAGATTAGACAAACATTTTTATGCATCTGTGTCAATTCCAATATCTAATGAAATTGCTCTTTCATTGCCATCCTTAACCATCTGCTGAACTCTATCAGCTGAGGGGACAGCATAAAGTTTAATTGATATCTGGGCTAGAGCTGTTTTTAAAATTCTGTACCATGTAATCCTGCATATCCAGCTATTTGAGATGTATTTGGTTGCCTGGTTATTCCAAGCTGTGCTTGGTTACCCATTACACAGTATCTAATAATAGTAGTTGGAATTTATTGACCACTTCACATGTTCTGAGCACTTCACAAACATTGACTTATTAGTCCTCCCAGCCCACTTTTCAGGCAGGTACATAGGTAAGATGTAGGATTCCCAGTTTACAGAGGTGGAAAGTGAAACAGAAAGGTGATATGAATTCCCTAACACCACCCAGCAAGACATTGGCCAAGCATGGAACCACCTGATGCTTGTCCCTCTATGCCATGATGCTTCCCAGCCATGCTACCTCTTTCTGTATCTTTCACTCTTTGCTTGATAAGCAAGGAGCCATCAATTAGGTATTCCTAATTGTCTATAAATTGAATGTTTCTCTGTTCCTGGGCGTGTGGATCTCTCTGAGAGAGAAATAATATTTGCCGATGCACTAATTCTTAAAGTAATACGACCCTCTTTCTAGAAATCATATTAATACAAGTTTTTGTATACTTGCCACATCAGCTCAGACATGATTGCAGTAGGAGAAGCCCTTCCGTTCCATGGATGTCCCCAGGCATGACAACTGTGAACTATTTTAAAAGAAAAGTAACCTTTAAAATGGTGCTGCAGTAGATGCTTTGCAAAATTAGGTTTTATTTCCCCCATGTGTGCTCATTTTCCAGCTTGCATTTCAGTTAAGCTGGTTGTATTCATGATCATGCAGTCAATATAATGGTTACTGAAACAGAGCAGTGGTTTCCACCATTCAGTGACAGGGTACTTCCTGATTGCTAGCTTATATTTTTATTCTGTGATTTAATAGTATCTTTTACAATGAGTCTTATTGTAGTGAATGTTAATTCAATAAGTAATTTTAATGGTATTTCACATTGTGTGGAGACATTGAGTGTAATTATCAAATCATTTTTGTCTTTTGACAACCAGTTGACAAATGCATATTTTAGTTAGGAAAAATGTTGTACCTTCCATCTCTATTGCATTGATTCATTTTGGCTTGGTTAGGAATGTCTGTCTGACTTAGCAGTTTCTAATTCATTTTATATGCATTTGTCTCTTAAGGCTAACATTTTCAACCCCGATATCTCAAGTAATGTTTCTAAATCCATATTTAGGCAAAGTAAAGGTGTAAAGGAATAGAAGTGGCTTCATTTTTCTGAGTTGCTGAGCACTCATAAATCTCCCTGATGCTAATAGAACTTAATGGTGCCTATTACCTTTTGAAAATCTGGCAATTTTTGCGTACATGCTCAAATGTGGATTTAGGAGCCTAGGTTTGAACATATTGATCCAAAGTAAGAGTTAAATACTTTTTATGCTCTCTCCTGCTCTTCCCCCTATATTGAGGTACAATATCAAGATAAAGTTAAAATGGATTTGTAAACTATTATGGTCAGAAAATTCAGTCATAAGGAACAAGGATAGTGAACATCAGGAAGTTTGTAAATTCTCAAATCTCTTCAACTATTGTTTGTTTTCACAGGGTTGACAAAACTAGTTAGAATTCATAAACATTTCTGATTGTATAAAGTATTTTTTTTCCAAAACTTTGGGGGGGGGGGTTAGGTGGGGTGTTGTGGTCAGGTCAACTGTATTTTAGTTAAAGGAAAGCCTGAGCTCTGTGTTAAAAGAATTGCTCCCCGAAGCTCTTTGCTCAAAAGCTGAGTTGAGCACAAATTTGTCTTACATACTTTATCAAATTTTCAGATTTTTCTCTTCCCCACCTTCTCTCTCTCTCTCTCTCTCTCTCTCTCTCTCTCTCTCTCTCAATCTGTTTTCTGAATTTCCTTGTAGCAATTTCCTTTCCTCTTCCTGTTAGCTGTACGAGGTCTGTTTAAAGGGAAAATTCCTTGCTTGACTGTCTTTTAGATGTCACTAAGTCCTTTGGTGGGAGGAAAAAAGTCAGATTATTAGCTTATTAGGTAGATATTTAGATATTAGCTTTTTGGGTTGTTGTTTACGTCCACTTTTTGGGTGGGTATTTGTTTTTATTTTGTCTTTTGTTTTAAAAGATGAACACGAGAGAGTAAAAGAATAGGAAAGATAAATGACATCTTCTGTTTCTCTCACTTGCAGTTTAACCGCTGAAAAATCACAGGTACATCAAACAAGAAGCAACTTTATCAAGCATTTTAGCACCTTGCAAACTTTTAGCAGAATTGGGCTGTAGTTTAAGGCATGTTTTTAGCTTGCCTTTTTGGTAACAGCAGCATTGCAGGATATACTTATCTGGGCTGACTAAACCAGATTTTATTAGATAGATGGCAGGATAGAAGGAAATAGGGAAGAGGAAAATGAGGTGGGGAAGGAAATTAATAACTCAGGGGAGTCAATAGCAGAAACCTTAAATTCACATCCTAAATATTGCTAAGGATCTAACCGACCCACCGGTGATGGGGGTGTCATCTGGTTATCTCTTCTCACAGGGTCTGGCTAGAACAGGGGTCTCAAACACGCGGCCCGCAGAGCTCTTCCCTGCGGCCCGCCAAGCTCCCCGCACCCCCCCCCAGTTACTTCCTGTTGCCGCCAAATTCCCCTCACCCCCACCCCGAGTTATTTTATGTGGCAGCTAAGCTCCCCGGGCGCTGCTCCCCAACGTTTGGGGCTGGGTCTCTCCCCCGGCCCTGCCTGCCGCCCCCACGCACCTCCCCCGAGTGTCCCCTGTCCTCACCTGGGAGCCTGCACTTCATGCTGACTCGGCTTTGCTCTGCCTGCTTCCGGCATCACCTGCTGCTGCAGGGTCCCAGTGCCCCCCTCCACTAGGGCCAGGGCAGGCTGCCCTTCCCCTGGCCTTCTGCCCTAGTCCTGAGCTTCTCCAATGCCCCGAGCCTCTCATCCTCAGCCCTCACCCCTGCACCCCCTCCTATCCCCAAACTCCATCCCGGAGCCTGCACCCCCTGCCCCAGCCCGGAGCCTGCACCCAGCACCCAAACTCCATCCCAGAGAGTCTGCACCCCAGACCCACTCCCCCATCCAAACTCCCTCCCAGAGCCTTAGGCAGGTGGGAGCGGAGTTTGGGGGGGCAGGTTCTTGGCACCCCAAAATTTCTATAAACCTGCCACCCCTGGAAGAGGCAGAGCAGGGGTGGAGTGGTGGTGCAGCCCAGTGCAGTAGGGGGGCTTTACTGAGTGTATGTATTTTATTAAAACAGCTTGGAGGAGGAGGTGGAGAAGAGACGGGGCAGGGGCGGGGCTTGATGGAAAGGGTGGAGTGGGGGCGGGGCCAGGGGCAGCGAGCGGGGGTGTCAGTGATGCGGCCCTCAGGCCAATGCACTAGTCCTCATGTGGCCCTCGTAGTCATTTGAGTTTGAGACCCCTGGGCTAGAACATCTTTCCAAGTCAGGAAATAATTGGTGGTAAATTTCTGGGTCCAAGCAGATTCTGGCAATTGGGGGCCATAGGCACATCACGATGCAGGGTTCCCCTGTGGTTCTGTCCCTGTGGCCCCACTCCAAGACTGTGACTCTTCCTGTGCTTGGAGAAACTGGGGCAGCAGCACAGAGCTTCCTTCTCCCCCAACCAGGAATGGCAGCAGGAAGCCCCTCTTCTCCCGTGGAGAGACGGGGTGGCAGCAGGATGCCCCCTCCCCCCCCAGTACTTACAGCTTGGCTGCTGAGGTATTTGGGTGAATGAGCAGAGCCCTCTGCACTTTTCTCTCCTAATACACATACAGTCCTCTACTGAAGTTGTCTTGGCAGCTCCTCACACCCCTCCTGCCACCCACAGCAGCAGGTCTTAGAGTTAATACCTCCATTGAGATACATTCATTAGTTCACCTGTCTGAGAGCTATTATTTCAGGCTTTCAGGCAAACATTGCTCCATTAGTTACACTTGGGTCACGTTATCAAATTTTCTTCACAACCATAACAGCCAGAGACTTTTTTTTTTTAATGAAAGCTAAGATTCTGGTGTAATCACGTAACTCCAGAACCTGGGACCCTAGGCGTGAGCCTCTAGTGCCTCTGCCTTAATCCCTTCCTGGTGACTGACCGCCATTACTGTGAGGCTGATTGACATGCAACACCAGTTGTCATCTGCTCACTTCTTCCTCCCAGCAAGTTGTGTCACAGCCTCAAGAAAAGCAATGTACGGAGTGGGGTGGCAGCCTTGCTCTATCAAAATTAGCCAACCAAAATGCCTGTTTGGTGAATGCCTGTATTCCTCTTCATATTTGTAATCACACCAAAAGTCTTGAAAAATCCCTGAGCATTTCTTCCAGTTTAAACACATCTAGTGTGTACCAATCTGGGTTTGCAATTTTTGCTTATTTTATAAACAGTTTTATAGGACAGATTGAGCAAAAATTTGGACAATTTAAGACTTTAACCTGGTGTGCCGGACTCTGCACAATGCCTTGTCTAAGCAGAATGCAATGATGTTTTTAGTTGATCTCTAGAACCCACAATGATCAATGGATTCAAAACTAATTACACCTCTACCACGATATAACGCTGTCCTCGGGAGCCAAAAAATCTTACCGCTTTATAGGTGAAACCGCATTATATTGATCTTGCTTTGATCCACCGGAGAGCTCAGCACCGCCCCCATGGAGCACTGCTTTACCACGTTCTATCCGAATTCGTGTTGTATCGGGTCACGTTATATCGGGGTAGAGGTGTATAAGAAACTGACCCAGCCCTAGTCAGAAATACTTTTTGGTGGTTTTGTGGTTAATCAAAGCACTGGACTGGGACCTGAGAAATCTGAGTTCAGTTCCTGACTCCACAGATTTCTTGTGTGATCATGGGCAAGTCACTTAAAATCTCTGGCCCCTATTCTAGAAAGCCCTGCAAGCACCTGATTAAGTTTAGTCATCTGGTTAAGTCCAAATTAAGTCAAAGTACATGCATAAGGACTTTCCTAAATAGACCGGGACTTTAAAATGCTTTCCTGAATCAGGATCTCTTTATCTCATTTCCCTATCCATAGAACAGAAATAACAATACTTTCTTCCACTTTTTCTCATGTTTATTTAGATTGTAAGCTCTTTGGGGCAGGAATTGTTGCTTGTTGTTTTTATGTACAGTGCCTAGCACAATGGGGCCTCTAGGCACTACCATAATATACATAATAAGTGCTAATGATATAATATTGCACATATCATAAATCACATGGTTTTAAATTTGCTATCGACAGAGTGACCAGATCCCACCAGAGATGAATCTAACACGACCTGCAGTTAAAGATTCTTCCAGAGATGTTACTACTTCATTTCATTCACGGCAAAAGTCTGAGGTCTGAGTCACTTTCAAATCCATAATATTATGCCTTTGGGGCAAATATTTTTTTTTAATGCCAGCTTTGTCTTTTTGATTGCATAGTGTTGGATTTCATTATAGCAACGGTTCATAAAACAAAAGGTAAACTGTGGCTGGATTTTATGCTGTGACATGGCGTGGAAGAACAGTACAAGTGTCATCCTTCATTTTTAATAGATGTTTTTTCTTTGGCTTAGGGTGGAACGTATCATGATCCGCACCCAGAGGATGGAGCCTCTAGTAAAGAAAATAGACTTCTGTATAATGACCCTATTCCCAGAAGAGTTGGCAGCTTTTACAGAGGTAATTTTGCAATGTGCCTTACACAATTAACCAGTGTTTTAACATACAGTAGAATCATAGCATTAAGAAGGATATTCTGAGCTATGCAAGAACAAGTAAAAAAGGTGACTGGAAAAAAAAATACACCAAGCTAGTACTAAAGTCTATAGAGTCCTTCTGGTTTCTCTCTTTTACTACAGTGCATATCTACAAAGCATTTTTTGCAAATTCTACCTTTTGCTGATTCACAAGGCATACATAGTATAATACTTTGCAGAGCACAAGACAATTTGCTTACATGGGTATTGGGGAAAAATAAACTCAATGAAATTAAGGAGTTTATCAGGGTTTATATACCATTTTAATCACCAAGATATCTGATCACATTTAGCAATATACAACACACAAGGACATATTTAATGAGCTGTCTTTGTGTTCAGAAAACTTTCTTTCCCAGTCTGTACCATGCACCTGCTGTCGTGTCCATTTTAACTGATAGGAGTGTTCTAAATACAAAATGTTAATTATTAAAGACTGGGTGGTACCTTTCATTGGTATACTAGCCTTTCATCTCTAGAGACCTAGATTCAGATCTGTTCTTTGATTTACTAAAGGACAAAATCCATTCTTTAAATGAAGCACATTTATATACGTAGATCTCCAGTAGCCATCTAGAGACCTGTTTGAAGGTCTTGGAGCCAACGAGCTGTTCTGATGGGTTCTGATTATCGGTATTTCTTGCAGTGCCATCTCCACGTCCAGAGGGTACATTCCTTGAAACCAATGTGTCAAACAGAGTCAGTGCACTACCAGCAGACAGCAGCACTGTGACAAACCACTCAAAAAGACAAACTACCTTTGATCCATGGTGAGTTATTGTTTACACAGACATACACAGGGTAATATGGAAAGAGAGACTGCTAAAGAGCGGCCTCAATTAGGTTTTTCTTTAAAAAAGTCATTAACGTGATCACCTTGCTGCCTATAGTTGTGTTTGGCATGCAGACATCCTTATATGTTCCCTTTGCGTACGCTGAAATAACATTGTATGATTTCTGCCTCTTCTGGATCCTCAAGAAGGATCTCATGAAGTTATTCCAGCAAACATATTTTTAAAAAATATATAAATGTTAATATATTTGTGTATTTTTTTCTGATTTTTTCCATTACCCAACATATGTCATCTGTGATTAAAGATAAGAGGGAGTGTGTGTATATAATGTGGCATACAAGGCCAGTAGTCCAATTTGTGAATTCCAGAATCCGCAAGTGGCAGACCAAGGGAAAAAAATGTCCAAGATGCATGTCTTCATATATAACTTAGGACTGTATTTATGAAGAATATAGTTATTGTTCTACATGTGGTGATTGCTTCTCTCCTTTTGCTCATACACCACAGAACTACGGTAGGTAACACTGCAGAAAGAAATGGATTCTTTCTATTGGGAGGACAGGACAAACCTTCTGTGTTAGCTCTGTATATTGTTTTTAAAAGATTAGAGAAACTTTTAGACGAAAATTGTATACTCAGTTACCTTTCTAAAGTATTTTATGTGCCAGTTTTCTTCATTCCTACTAATAAACGTAATCTAACTCCATCATATAACAGAGGAATTAATTGTCTGTAATTGCACCAGTAATTTGACAGCCCTGAAATAAAGAAAAAAACATAATTTGGTCATTGACAATTATTTAGCCCTTAAAATCTTGTCATTCTACCGCTTTGTACAAATACAATAATTTACATCAAATAAAAATAAGTATTACTCTTGGAAAGGATTGTGACTCATCTTTACATGATTAAAAATGGTGTTGGTTCTCACTAATGCACTAACTATCCTTCAAACTCCATTATATCTTTTGCAAGATTTTAGTAAGATCTTTAATTGTATTAACTATACAGTGGCTACAAAGGGAAATATAGTGTTATATAATGGATGAACTCCAAAGTACAGCAACACGTGGTTCTGTGTGAGAAGTCCTAGCAATGGTTTAACGATATTGCAAAATTGTTCTCTGCTGTAAGTGCAACTTAATCACATTTTTCATTAATGTAGAGTCTGTGTTTCTCTACTTTATATCTTTTTGTGGGGGAAATTCTGTAATTGCATGTAAAAATGTTAACTCTATTTTAATAGAACATGACTCTGATTACATCATTTTATGATGAACTAAATATTTAATGTTCTAATGGCATACATAATTGGTATGTGAAAACTCATCTCAAGTTATGAATGAATGTGTAATCCACCTGAACTTCCTACTACTCTAAGATATTGCTTCTCACTCATCGTATTGCTCTTTGTTACCTCTTTCTGATGTCAAAGATTTTGTGAATGTTTTAGGCTGAACTGACACAGATGTTCCCTTGTCCGTGTATGCATTTGTACACCCGAGCTTCGCTGTCCTGCATCTTTAAAATTAAAGACATTATACTGCTGAACTTATCCATTATCATTAGGATTTACTCTTAAATGACTTAAATTATCTCTGCACTTAATCAGCCTGAGCTAAACAAAAACATGTTTTTCATCCTATCAGGAACTTTTCTATTTACCACACTCACTTTATATTCCTCTAAATTCTTGGGTTTTTCCATTTCCTTCTCTATTTACGAGAGTAGATATTTTGCTCTCTTTCACTTAATTCTCATGGAACTAATGCAGATGACAGTAATAGCCTGGCCTTGAGCCAGATGTATATTACCTGCCTGCACTGTGAGATTACCTGCATAGCTCTACCAATGTACCCCAGTCTTGACCTGAATTATCCCTACTGCTACTACAGCTCTCTTCACTACAGGCTATAAGTTGTGTTGAATTATGCAACAGTATGTTGGAAGTCTCTGAAATGGCCACATATTAGACATTTGGGGGCTTGTGGGGAACTTCAGTTAGTGAGATCCCTTATGTAGGTGTAAATGTTTTTCAGTGCCCTGATGACAAATGGCCGGTCACATTCTCTTTATTGCATGCTACCTTTCTGCAAAAATGAATACGTTCTTTTCTTACCGTCACTTCAAGGAATTCATAGCTGTGGGCTGAAGCTTTACCAACTTGACATCTGCAGAGTGCCTTAGGCTTATAGACATCTCCCATGAGTTTTCAAGACCAGAGTTCCTTTACACTTCTGGAATTTGACTAGACTATTGCAAGGAGCTGCAGATTTGTAATTTCAATGGAACTACACTCATTTACTTGAGCTGAAGATCTGGCTCTTTATCAGCGCCGCATAGCTTGGTCTTGTTCACATCTCCTGATAATATATATATATTTCCCTTTAATTTTTCCTGCCTAAATCTTTCTTATGCATCAAGTAAGCCCCATTTTCATCTACAGTATTTGCCTTTTTTCTTTTCATCTACTCCCCGGTGTCTGAGCCCTCATACTTGTGTATGCAGTCCTCACTTCTCATCCTAATTGTCAGTACTTCATGCCTTCATCTTCCTCAGCCATCCATGGTTTTGTTTGCTAATCTTTTCCTTGTTTGTTATCAAGCCATAGTGCACAATTAACATATTTAAATTCGGGTAAATACTGATCTTTGAACTCTAATCTTTTTGGAATGTTGTCATGCCCTGTTACACTGCCCATTATAATGGGAAAGGGGAAGCCAGAAGTGCACCTGAGGAGAGAGGAAAGGACCCTTTATTTTATTTACAATAGCTTTTCAAAATCCTGTAGGCACTGTGATTCTGTCTTGGAAATAAAGCTAGTGCCACATACATGATACCAGTTTGGGGAATTCCGGTCCAGCCACTTTTAAAAGTTTAACAGTTAATTGCACAAAGTGATGCAGTTTCTGTTTTCATAATAAATGATTTACTTATTGAGGCCAAGCACTGTCGTCTTGTTGCATTTCATGTATTTCTTGTAGTGACACCTGGTGGTACCACTGTGTGTCTGTTTTTCTACTAGGGAAGCCCCTTTTTCAAATATAACTTGGCAGTAAACATTTGCTGTGTTTTTACCCCTACGTGCAAAATCTTTGTCTTAGATCTTGGGGGACAAAGACATTTAATTTTAAAAGGTAAAAAAATCCTGCTCTTAAGAGAACTGGTATTTAAAATAGTTTGCTAGTTTCAGATGATGTCTTGCCTTCATTTACAGTAACTCAATGACTATTATTCTTTTATTTTTTAAAAAAGTTAACCTAAAAGTCAGTATTTAACTTTGAGGATTTAATTATTGGCCATGTGTGGTAAGCACTTTTCAAAGAAACCTTCATAAAGATTTTTAAAATCTCTTTGATTAGGACAAAATCTAACTCTCAGATGTGTGAGAGACAGTGTGTATGTCTACACCAGGGGCGGGCAAACTTTTTGGCTTGAGGGCCATGTCAGGTTTCTGAAATTGTATGGAGGGCTGGTTAGGGGATATGTGCCTCCCCAAACAGCCAGGTGTGGCCCGGCCCCCACCCCATATCCCGCCCCATCCACCTTTCCCTGTCCCCGGACCCCCTGCCCTGACTGCCCCCCACTGCCCCATCAAATCCCTCCTCTCATTCCTGACTGCCCCCTGAGACTCCTGCCCCATCCAACCCCCCCTCCTTCCTGACTGCCCCTCTGCCCCCATTCAACCCTCTGTTCCCCTCCCTCTGACCTCCCCGACCCCTATCCACACTCCCACCCCGACCACCACCGGAACTCCCCTGCCCTCTATCCAACCCCTCCTGCCCCTTACCGCCCCGTCGAGAGCACCAGGACAGGCAACCGCGCCGCCCGGCTGGAGCCAGCCACGCCACCGCGCAGCACAGAGCACCGGGTCAGGCTGTGGCTCTGCAGCTGCGCTGCTCCGCAAGAGCTCACAGCCCAGAGCATTGTGCTGGCAGTGCAGTGAGCTGAGGCTGCCGGGGAGGGGGAACAGCGGGGAGGGGCCGGGGGCTAGTCTCCCAGGCCAGGAGCTCAGGGGCCGGGCAGGACGGTCCCACGGGCTGTAGTTTGCCCACCTCTGGTCTACGCTGTGCTGTGAAAACTATGGCAGAGAGTCTCAGAACTCAGGTCTGCAAGCTCAGGCTCGTGGGGCTGATGCTACAGCACTAATAACAACTGTGTGGAGGTTAAGGCAGGAGCTCAAGGTTTGAAGCCCAGGGAGGGGGGTGGGTTTCAGAGCCCGAACTCCAGCCCAAACCACAATGTCTAAATTGCTGTTAACACCATAGCACAAGCCCCGTGAGCTCAAATCTGTAGACCCGGACTCTGAGACTCGCTGGTGTGGGTTCTAAAATGCAGTGTAGAAGTACTATCTGTTTGGAGACGTACCGTCAGTATGCACGCAGCAATGCCTCTGGAGCTGTGAACTACTACTGAGCACATTAGCTAGGACCCCAGCCTACTGTGAAAACTGGATGCTGGCCTGTTGGTACATGCATGTTTGCTGCACCACCTCCACTCCAGCTCAGTGCACCTGTACATGACAGGTGCCCTTACATGTGAGCAGTGGAGTCTGACTCTGCTCTTTACTTAATTTTAAATTTTTGTCCCCACATCCATCTCTTCTGTGAAGCCAAAACACACAAGATGACCAGTATTGCCAAACCTAAGCATTCAAAAATCATGAGACAAGTTTAAAATTGATGAGGTTTTATTGCTTTTTTAATTTTTTTTAATTGGGTTGTTTTTATTTGCCTTCTTGTTTCTGAGCTGTTAGGGTGCACTCAGGTCACATTATCAGGTTTTTCTCTGCAACCATAAGGGCTAGAAAATTACTTTAAAAAAATAAAATAAAAGCTGTGATTCTCATGTAACTGCTTACCTCCAGGAGCTGGGGTTTTAAGAAAAAACACCAAATATCACAAGACTTGTCATAAACTTGGAAGAGTTGGTAACACTGAGTGATTATACATCCCACTTTTACCAGGCTAATCCTGTTTATTCTTATATTGGCTGGTGTCTCAATAACTTCTTTTGGATCCTTGAAATGTCCTGGTGTTCATGTTCTCAATCAAAATGTTCTATTTTTTTAAATCAGTGCAAAGTCTTTGTTTTGAGACTTTCTGCTCTAATGCTATCTCTTTGTACCTTATTTCACTCTCCTCATATAACGAGCATGTGTTTTTTGTATCAACCATTGTTCAAGGCCAAAGCTTGTCAGACCACGGCATATGCAATATGAGTTTGAGGAGTTGAGCACCAGTCTAATCAGTGCAAAGCCACTCCATTGGCCCCTTGAGCAAACGGGTTGGGGAGTAAGAGGGCGGATACCTACCACCCTGTCTGTCCATCACTTTCCTTCTCTTTATGGAGGAGAGGGAAGGGAAGAATAGAGCTCCACCTCCCTCCAGTCTTCTCTGCTGCTACAGGCAGACATTTTCTGACCTGGATGCAGTGAATCAAGGATGGGAGCCAGAACATAGAGCATTTGAATATTTAATTACCCTGAAAAAAATGGTGCGAAAAGTGTTTGGTTTTGATTTTGAAGATGCGATCATCTTAAATAGACAGTGACTCTTCTTTACATGGGATTTGGAGGCAGAAAAGCCATGCCAGGAAATTCTGCATTTCCCAATGTGTTATAGGGTCAACCTCTGTGGCAAGACGGAAGGGTTTGTATATGGGCCAGTGGAGCAGTATAGACATGGTTACTGGGTTTGCAATTTACACTGAGTCAGTTTTGTTGTTTAACGCCCATGTTTTGAGGAATGGCAGGCAGCAAACTGTCCTGTTTTCTCCCACCCCAGCTCTCTAATAGTAGTAGGTGCACAATTAGATACTAAAGGGTGAGGCTAAGGATTTCTCAGCACCACTTGCTCAGTGCACAGCCCGGTGGCTTGGACTCTGTACTTCTAGGATTTGGCCTACAAGTTAGGGAAGATGGAACTATCTCAAACCACATACTTTTATGTCAATAACCGTGTGTGTGTGTGTTGGCCATGTTACGCCACCTTTGATGGAAGGCATCCGTAAAGCTGTCAGCAGTTTACTCTTGGATTTCCTCCATGCAGCATTAAATGGGTGAATAGTTAGAAGACAGCCTTTCTGCAGTTTTGCTGTATTACCAAATGCAAAAGGCTGGATGGAATTGGGAATCCCTAGTAATTTGATGTCTTTTAAATTTGTATAAGAATCTAGTCATTAAATACTATACTAATGACTTTTCATGGAAGCTAATTATAGCTTTGTAATTTTCTAATGAAAAGCATATTGCTGAAATCTAGAAGGAGCATTTGGGGGGGGGGGGGTGTTCAGTGTAGATATATGTTCCAGAACCATAAATTATGCAAATCTCCACTTCTCCTTTCTTCCTACACATCAGAAAACCATCCCACCTCCTCAAAAAAAAAAATTTATTGAGCGAATGCAATTTGTGACAGCCTTTAGACATCTCATACATTCGTATTTGGATTCCCATCTGACTTTGTTTTTATATAGTAAATATATAACATCCAGTAATTGAGCTTAACTTCTGATATAATGAACATACTTTGAGCATGGGATATGTCCTAGCCTTTTCATCCATATGATAAATAACATTTGTAGTTGTTTTCCTTACATTTAAAGTAATCTGTTGCTGATCAGCTCTGGATCACAGAGTTTTTGGCAGCCTGAAATTTTAAAATTCAGTCTTTGCAATAACTCCAATTTTCTGTGGCTGTCTTCACTTGCCAGCACCGTCCCATGATCCAGAGAGAGACCCATCCATAAGAAAAGTTTAAGAGGAGTTAAGTAGAAGTGAACAACAATAGATCTCCACAGCTTCCGTGATGATAAATTTGGAGCCATGTCAGCAAAGCTCAAGAATTTTTGTAGACAATCTTTTGTTTCAGTCTCATGATCGTTACAGCTCTTCTGACCCTCAAACAAGTGATGGGCGAATTAGAACTGATTTTATCTGTTACAGATTGTTTGTACATTTGCTCAGATATTACTTAATTTTTTTATAATATCTTCTGTGTGATGTTTTTGTTTTGAATATAAAATCCCAAGTGAAAAATTAGACAAACTTGCAAGATAATCTTTTCCCTAAAGTACCTCACTGGATGTTTTTCGTTAACCATTTTAACCTAACAATGTGTCCTTAGCTTTCCATTTAATTAAGAATGTTTTATCTATTAGTTGTATGTTAATCCTTGTGTCATAAAGTAATAAAGTATTTTGAATATCTTTGGTTTAAAAAAATCTGCATTCTTTAACAAGAAATACAAAGAGATCATATGATGACCTAACATCCAAAGATTTTTCTCTGACAATATTTTTTTTCATGTTTAGGAAAAGTCCTGAAAATGTTAACAGTCAGTCAGAGCAACTCAAGGAGAAAGAAAAACAAGGTTTTTTCCGGGCAATAAAAAAGAAAAAGAAGAAATCTCAAACTGTAAGTATACCCAGTAGTTTCTAAAATAGTGTATATTTTCCATTGTTTTGAAGCTGCTACCATAAAATGGGCTAGACCAATGTTGTATTGTTATATTACGTGTGTGTTGGCATACCTGTGTACATCTGTTAGCTTTTTAATTTGTGGAAGTAGTCTTCTTTTCCTGTTCAGGATTTACCTACTTGCCTATTCAAATATTTACTTGCTAAGGAGTTATACTTTCTACATTTATTTGCTTACATCCAGGACCCCTGAAATTCTATTACACTTGAGGTAGGGTTGCCAGGCGTCCAGTTTTCAACTGGAACGCCCGGTCGAAAAGGGACCCTGGCGGCTCTGGTCAGCATCACTGACTGGGCCGCTAAAAGTCCAGTTGACGGCAGAGCAGGGCTAAGGCAGGTTCCCTGCCTGCTCTGGTCCGTGTGGCTCCCGGAAGCAGCAGGAATGTCCCTCCGGCTCCTAGGCACGGGGGCAACCATGGGGGCTCCCCACGCTGCCCCCGCCCTGAGTGCCGATCCCATAGCTCCCATTCGCCGGGAGCCACTCTGCTGCTGTTTGGCAAAACAATAGGCAGCATCAGAGATGCTGGAAGATGTCTGTCTTCAGACTTAAGCAGATAAGATTGGCTTACACCCAACTACATCTAGAAGGTTTTCTTCACGTCTGCATGGACTGTAAATATGTAGACTGCCTCACTCATCGGAGCAAGCTTTACTACTCATCAGTGGTGAGTGGAATTTATTTATTGATTTTGCTGCAGCATTTAAGATCCCTGAATTATTGTTTCTGTCATAGAATCACCAACTGGCTGCGAATCATCATATTGAAATAATGATCTGATACTGTTTACATACTGTACACTAAGATCTGGATCCAAAGCCCATTGGAAAGACTCCTATTTACGTAATTGAATTTAGGATCAGGCCCTAAAAGTGGGTAAATGTTAAAAATTAGGTCAGTGTGCTTCACAAAACAGCCTGTACTACTGAGGGGTAAAATGTATGTGAACAGAAGTTCAGTAATATAGAGTGATTGAATTTTTGTTTACAAACAAAAGTTTACAATGACTTTAAGTGGGAAAAAAAATTGACAAATAAAGAAAAACTTTAATGTTGCCAAATTTTAAGATGGAAAAGTCTAGGGGGATTGGGATGAGAATATGTATTAGTAAACACAGATTATGAAAAGCAGCACACTTTTTCTACTAGTAAATAAAAAACAAGGAAAGAAGCATGTTACTCGTAATGGCTATACTTGGCTTTCGAGGCATTGGTGTTTTGAGTGTGTGTAGTTATTGGAGTGTTTATAAACTGTTCGTATTAAATTGGGAGGGTCAGATTCTAATCTCAGATGCATGGTGTGAATGATCATGTATCTAGAAATATCTTCTGCTGTGCTGGTTTGAGAGGAAGGATGGTTTCACTGCTAAGGCAGTAGATTTGGGATTTGAGTTTGATTCCAAGCTCTGGTGAGACCTGCAGTTTGACCAAAGCAAGTCACTAATTTCTCTGTGCCTCAGTGCCTTCTTAAAAATTGGGAGAGTATATTTCCTTACCTCACAGGGACATGGGGACAATAAATATTTTAATGATCAGTTACTGGAGCTACAATCACGGTAAAAAGTCTATAAATAAAAACAAATTGCAAGTGTTTTGTGGGTATATTGTGATACACGCTAAAGAGTTGAGATTAGAAACTGTCCTTTAATAGTGTCACAACGTGCAACATATCAATCTTCTGTCAGCTTCAATGTTCTTATAGGCCTGATCTAACTCATCAAAAAGAAATGGAAAGACTACTGCTGACTTCAGTGGGAGTTAGAGCAGATCCTACACAGAAGCAGAGATCTCACCTTTTTTAAATCAGATCTTCACTCTCAGAACACTCCTCAGATCCTTTCCAGAGCCGAGAAGGATTCCAAATTTGTATCTGACAGAACTGATTTTACTCTGTGTTCTGGGAAAGTTGGGGGAGAGGAGATTAATCTGGTTGGTAGCCACAGCTACAGTAATCTTATGTCACAGTATTTTTCACCACAACCTTTTTCTATCTCTCTGTGGTGTTTTGGTTGCAAAATCAGCAGTGCGATGCATAAATAAACCTTTTGAACTGGGCTAATGAAATACAAAGACTCTGGGTCAGATTTTTCTCTCATGCACATCAGTATTTGTACTTGTTTAGCACTATTGCCTTCAGTGGAATCATCCTGGTTTACACTGTAATGACTAGAGAAACAGGCCTGTCATCATCATCGCACGAAATGGGCCAGAGTTCTAGATGATATCATGTGGGAGAAAGGGAAGCTCCCATGATTTTAGCAGCAATATATCAGCTGGCACCACATAATTTCTCCATTTAACTCTGGCTCAGCAGATCACTACTCTTGATAGTGCACTCCTCAGAGAAAGTAAGTGACTCTTGGGGCTGTGTGCAGCATACGCTTCTTAGGATCATGGTTCAAGTTTATATAAAGGACTTCTCCCACAAATGCCCTCAGTTCCTTTCCTACCATTATAGTTGCAGGTTTCCAAACATGTATTTGATTAATTTACATTGTACCAGTCCGCTGTCTCTTTTATCTGTTTATCTAGTTTATATGTTAGCGGTAGTTTCAAGACAAAAATTAAAAGTATTTAATCCCCCTTTTTATAAATGAATGTTAGTGTTGATTAAGGCTAGTTAGATTTGTGCTGATGTGTGTTTCCAAGCTATTTGTACATGCTGTTGCATGGGTCTGAAACTATTTGTCTGCTCTGTTGCCCAGCTAAAAATTGATCTGTTGCATGACAGACCCAGGTAAAATATCTAGATCTAAAAAGTGTGATTATGTGGTAGTAAAATGTTAATGACAGATGAGCACACTGGATGCAAGTGGTGGTTAGTGAGAAGGGTATTTCCTAAAGAGATGCTGAATTTGCACAGGTTCTACCCTACTCTGGTTCAACCCATCAAGGAAGTGGTGTCTCAATCTCATGTTGATGATAGAGACCTTGAAAACCTAGCAGATAAACACTGAGTCCACCTTTTCCAGACCAAGCTCCGTGCAGGAGTTCATACAGTGTGGATTAGATTACACTGCACACAAAGCATTCAAAAAAATCGAAACAAGCACTTTGATCTAAGAGCACAAAAAAGTCAATGTATATGGGTCTACAAATCTTATACAGAGTGCTTACTTCTGCTCTTCTCCATTCTTAATAAGAAGTGGCACAGATTTGAAGCCAGAGTCTGATAAGAACCATAAAACCTGGTCTGGGGACCTGTTGACTCCAACTGGGTCTTTGGATCCAACAGGTAAGCACTGAGGCTACGTCAGTCCCAGTATCAGTAGCCTTGACCTCTTGGCATTGTTGGCTCGCTTATATCTGTGTACTCAATCTGTTCTGACAGTGAACTGAAGGAGGCAGTGACCAGTGTGCCACTCCGTTTGTTTAAGGCAGTGGGAAATCATCTGAGTCTGAGCAGGCCAGGATCTCTTCCAATTCCTGCTTCTGTATCTTCTGTTCATAGAGATTATCTCAGGTTATGTGTGGATGGTACTCAGTGTGAGGTGCTCCTGTTTGGTTTAGCGACAGTTCCTTGAATTTTCACCAAATACCAGGCAGTTGAGGCAGCCCACCTAAGGCATCAGGATGTTCTATTAACTCATAATTGGATGACTAGCTTCTCAAGGCCCAATCTCTTCTTCTCTGCATATTCTCTTCTTCCTACTCTGACAATCTAGGGCTTGGGATAACCTAGAAGACTACTTTCACTTCCATGCAGAGATTGGCTTCTGTAGCAGAAACTCTTAACAACACAGTGTTAACTGCTTTTCTACCACAAGAAAAATTCATTGACATTCAAATACACATTGCTCATAAGGATACAGTCTCATGGCAAATCAAATCATTTCTGAGATTCTTAGACCTCATGGACCCTGGCAAGTACATAAATGCACGTGTCTGCTTCAGAACAAACCCATTGCAGCCAAATGCGGATCAGGGCTTTGAAGCCCCATTTGAGGCACTGATCTAAATGGTAGTCCAAGAAATCAGTCTGCAAGCAGTGCCTCAGCGAGCTGACAGTGCTTCAGCACGCACTCTGGCCTGCTGGGCACTACTGGACTGTCTGTGTCTTTTGGCAAATTTCATTTTGCCAAAGATCTCCAGTCCTAATCCTGACCCTTTCTCCCGCAGAGAGTTATTCCTGATAATTGTTCTCCCAAGAGTAGGGCTTTCCAGAGGCAATTCTTGAAGGAATAAGGAAGGTTACTTGCCTATTACTGGAGTTCTCACAGAGGTAGTGCCTCTGCAGAGCCATTCCCATCCACTCTCCTTTCCCTCTTGCTTGGAGTCCTTCCTAATATAGCATAAAGGAACTGAGGATAATTAAAGCCTCTGTGGCTCTTTTCATAACCTAGAATCAAACATTTTGATCCATGTGAGGGGTTGTGTGCAGTCTCAACAGTCACTGCTTTCCACCTGGACCCAGATCTTGTAGCATTATGGCACATACTCCATGGTGTGGCTCTGAAGAAACATGTAACTGGCTTTCTTAGAGAACATTGCGAGCACCCTTCATGGTGATCATTTGTTTTCGTCAAAATTTGCTGAGTTACAAATAGTGTGAATCTTCAGACCATAAGATTTTAAAGGAGCTAAGCCAGCTAATGAATCTCTTGTCCTTAATTTATACAATTTCTAGCTAGAAACTAGAAGCTGAGCTGTTTTAAAAACCTTGAATTTCACCAATATGCCTCTTTCTGTTAATTGATGTTATATAGTCTAAAATACTACTGTCAAGTTTTCCTTTATAGACAAAATAATACTGCACATATTTTACAAATGTCCATTGAGAGGGAAGTGTATCCCATTTGTGATTTTGACAGTGGACATTGTTTATTTACTTGCACCCAGTGCCATGACGTCTGGTTGTATTCTCATACATTAAGAAACAAAATGTCAGCCAGTAATCATGCAACTGTAAATGCCTTTTTTTAAAGGTGCTTTATTCAAACCTGTATCTGAGGCCCCAAACTCTTTTCAGACAAATTAGAAATACTAATGCTTTTGTTTATTTTTAAAATAGTTAAAACATAGTACGATTATTAATCATACATCTGGAACATAAATATTACATACAGTTTCACAGAATATGCAAACTTCTCTAGTAATATTTCTGCTAGTAAAATATCTCCACAATTATGGGATTGAACTCAGTTAATGAGAGTCTTAAAATGATTGTTTCCATTGATTTCAACAAGATTTGGATCAGGCTCTGTAGATCCAATGAAGGATCAGCCTGAACGTAGACACACATTCATTATTATTTGTACATTCTTTTCATATATAGAGAGAGGTTAGTGATATCTGGGATTCCTTTCATAGGCATCCTTTTCTTCAGAATAGCAGTCAATTTGAACTTTTCCAGAAAGTATGGGATCTGTTAGTTATTGTTCATATTTAAAAGTACCATTTATGCATGAATATGTCAAGGACAGATCACTTCATTGAAGCACTATTTATGCATTTAGTTTTTATATCTTATATTGCAGATAGAATCAACCAACGGGGAGAATCCAAGCATCAAGAAATCCCTCTTTCCTCTTTTTAATTCAAAGAATCATTTAAAGCATAGTTCTTCTTTGAAAAAGCTTCCTGTAGTCACTCTACCCATGGTATTAATTTTTAAGTACCGTAGCACTGAAAAATGCTCCAGTAAACTTGTTTTACTGACTACAGCAGCATGTATTATATTTTCATGGGATCACATTCTCTTTAAGCCAGTTAAGTATCTTGGACCAGTTCCATAAATTCAAATACAATCAGCAGTCCTATCAGAACAAATCTAATAAAAAGGATTCATAATTGAGTAGTCTAAGATATACTCAAAATATAATATATCTAGTTGCTAAGAAAGGAAGAGCCTGGGACTAAGACTAAAAAAGGCAAATTCTACTGAAATCAGTTACACTGTAAAACAGAGTGACTTTCCCTTTTGGTTGACCAGTAAAAATAAATGTTAAAATAATTTGGTTTATAAATTGTATTTATACTTTGTTTACAGATTGTTCTCTTATGTCCAAATTTAATTAATCAACTATTGTTACTGCAGGCTCAATGAAAGATCAATTTTTATTAGCTTGTGCTGCTGCTGGATTTTTCTTTGTCCTAATTGTTACTGGTGACCTTTTATTAGTGAGAGCAAATTTTGGTAGTTTTGTTTTTGTCTGTTATTCCATGGAATTGTGGTATGAGGTAAATCCCCCTATATATTAAAAAGCTTTACATTTTCTTCATCCTCACCTCAAGTTTTACAGAGACACAAATATGTTGAGCTTGAGGATAGGGTCCCCCTGCAGTTGTAGCAGCAAGACTCAGCAATATACCCAATTAAATACAGTTTTGATCTTTTTTTCATCCAGGGCAAAATTTGGCTTTACAGAACTGGCCCACGGTCTTAACTGCAATATGGAATGCTATTGAAATGAGGATAAGGCACCGCAGGGCTTTTTGTAGGCTTTTTAAAATGCTCTCTCTTCCAGCAACTAACAGCATGGGAATGCTTTAAGGGTTGAGGTTGTAACAAATCTGCATGATATCCACAAATATTATCCTTTAATATGGGGGAAAATATTGAGAGGACATTGCAATTCAGCTGCAGTAGTGGGCTTCACCTGCATTGTATAATTAACTAGGAGTGGGAGATGATTCCTACATTTATTCTTAAGGACCTGCTGAAATCCCCTTTTTATTATTATGTTGCAGATGCCCGGCAGTGATGGTCAGGATCTTTTGGCATTACAGAAAGCCATTCACTCTTCCAATCTCCAGAGCAGCAGGCAGAAGGATTGGCATCCTGAGAAGATGACAGAAATCCAGACGCATGTAAGTGTCATTTTCCGTTCCCCGCACCCTCTCACTGTGGTGTCTTGACAGGCTTTTTCTGCAGTGAACAGAAAAATTGCATTTGCCATTATCCTCCGCTCACTTCTCAGTCCTGTGGCTACCATTCTGCATAATTGAGAAGTAAGGGACATGAGACAGAGAGAAGAACAGTGTATTACAATCCATACAGTACATATCACCTGCTCGAAGGACATCACAAACCTTCCTCCTTTCCCCTCCCCACGCCTTGGATTCGGGGCAGTACCAATAGGACTATAGCAGTGGCAAAAAATCCAGAATGGAAGTCATAATAGTTCCTGTGTCCACCTTTTGAGGCTGCAAAAGCTTTGGTTATGTTTTTGCATTAGAGGCGCTTTCAAACAAAAACAGAATATTTGGCCTTGTCTACACGCACACTTAGTTTGAGGCAAGCTGGGCTGTAAATCTACCCCATGCTACCCTGCCATGCGCTATGCGTCTATGTGGACCATGCTGCTTGCTGGGCACTACAAGTTCTCTAGTGCGCTTTGATCTACTCCACTTGGAAATAGGAGCAGATCAAAGCACACTACAGAAATTGTAGTGCGCAGCAGCAGCATCCATGTAGACACGTACATCCCAGCTTGCTGTGAACTAAGCGCTCATGTAGACATCCCCCCCTAGAGCTTCAAAACCAGACAGGAGAACTTCATTGCAGCTGCCATATTTTAAAAAAATAATTGGTGGAACAAAGTTTTTCTACTGTAGCTATCTCAACTGTTCAGACAGCAATAGTAGATACTGCTCATAACCACCAAGCACTTGATGTATTTCTGTATTCCTATACAGTGGGTCCTAGTCAGTGGATTGAAATTAAATATTCAGAATTAGTAAACAGTAAAAGTGACTAAGTCCTGACATTTTTTTAAAGTTAAGCTGGTTCCGTTTAAGACATGCTCAAGGCAGTTAGTTTTCCTACAGAAAGGCTGGCATGCTAGTATAACAGCAGGGCATAAGACCAAATGTTTCCCTCATTCTTTGTCTTCCAGAGCCAACCTTTAAAATCCCTTCGGAAGCTGTTACATCTCTCCTCCTCCTCAAATCATCCTATCCCCTCTGAATCCCGCTTCCAGCCGTTACCGAGCCAGCCAGCCAAAGCTGCTTTTTCTGAAGTGCGAATTCACCCCATAAGTCAAACTTCCGGTAGCAGCAGCAGCAGCAATGTGCGGCAGGAGCCCCAATCAAAAGGCAGGCCGACGCTTCAGATACCAAGCCAGATAGAACCAAGCTGGCATGTGTCTCCAGTGAACAGGAGTGCTAGTGATGGGACTTCCTACTCTGATCAACTGCCTTCCAAGAGTGGACAGAATGGGCCCACGTATAACCGAACAAACCGATCCCGAATGCCAAATCTGAATGATTTAAAGGAGACGGCCTTGTAATGGCACTCCCGATTGTACACCAATTAACATGGGAATTTGAGTCGAGGGTTTGGTGGTGGTGCTGGTGATAGTAAGACTGTATTTTCAGCTTTATAAAAGTGTGCAATATGTACCTGTGGGGCTATACTGTTTGGCACCACACTGATAGTCAGGGATCATATAGTAAAACAAGATGAATTATTAATTACCAGTCATCAGAAATCTCATTGGATGATAGTGTGTGCAATTCAGGGAGAAGAAATGTGTTGCCATTTTTTCTCATTTACATTCCAGCTCAGTGCACATCTCTGTCTGAAAGCCCGGGTGAGTTTAAGTACGTACTGGCACTTCGAGGGGTGAAAACAATTAGTGTCTAGACTTATGCCCTTACTACATATTTTGCTGCCTAGTTAAAACAGTGGGGTTTATGTGATACAAGTATCCCTGTTAAGGGTTAAAGTTGAATTGTATGTCTTAAATTTGTTTTTTAAACTTCCACATTTGATAGGATTTGTAATATTTATTTATGATGAACTAATATCGTACTGTTATAATCATATCTCTTCTGTTACAATGTAAAGTTATTTTGAGCTGTTTGAAACATTGTGAAGCAGTGCAACAGCTACCGTAGTTTCTATAAAAACTAACAGTAACATTTATATATTGCATCAGGAGTATTTTATTCTCTCTCTCTCTCTCTCTCTCTCTCTCTCTCTCTCTCTCTCGAATATATATAAATGGTAAATAACTGATTTTTTTAAAATATGCTCATTTAAAAGAAAAGTATTGTTATGACACTATCTGCCATATTTTTATACATTTGTGATATAAAGTGCAGTATTATACTTCTAATAAAAGGGAGTTGAATGTGGATATAAGTGTGACTGTAACAGTATGAATCTTGCTCAGCTATGAGAGTGCAGTACTATAGGCATTACTATTGATAGCAAACAAAAGTATAATATTCATTTCAAAACTTTATATTGGCTATTTTGTTGGAGGTATTGGCTGAATGTAAGAGACTACGGAACTGTACAGGAATCTGAATGTGGTATATTCTCCCCTAAATGTGCACTTAGCTTTCCCATTAGTGTCAATGGGAGTTATGAATCTGCATCAAGAGACTAGAAAGCTTGGTATCACTTATCTTTCTCTAAAGGGAGAAAGTGCCCCTTTGCCGCAAGCTAACGCAGATGCTCTTCCACTTAATAATAGGGTGAAGACCAAAGAAATATAGCATGAGTTGCAAGTGACATGCCAAAGTTGTGACACTTACACATAGCATAACACTGCAAATCATGGTATAAGCTTTTATGCCTATATGTATTTTACATTTGGTTTAAAAGTCTACTAACTAGAAAGATAAATCTTGTATTTAAATTTAAAATGCTCTTGCACTTTCTTTTCTTCCTGTTTCAGGATGTACTTAAAGCTACTAAAATAATAATATTCAGATAGAGGTGGGAATGGTGCCGGGCAGCTTAATTTCTCCTTGTAGCTCGCTATCAGAATATTCCCATTCACAGTCAGTTTCCAGTTTCTACAAAATATTAGATGTGAGGTTTCAATCTCCTGTAGAATATTATGAAAAGAAAAGGGATTGCCGCCTTTATAACAATGGATTTTAAGTGTAGGGCCTGATTTCCCCTCTCACACTAGTGTAAATTAGAAGCAAGTCCACTGAAGTCAAACAAGTTACACTGGTATAAACTTGGTGTAGGTGAGAGGCGCATCAGGCTGTAGTGTCAGAACAATACAATCTTTCCTACATTTAAACTAATTCGTTCAACTCTTGCATCAGTCTGCAGTGTCGCTCACTTTCTGCCTGTTGTCTTCATATATCAATTGTACTTACAGATATTCTGACCTTTCCAAAAAGAAGTCAAGATGAGTATGAATGTCATAATTTAGCCACAGATATAGATGTAAAAATAGCCATCTAGTAACCTTTGGAGTTCCTACTTCGTTGCAAAAGGAGGTGAAGTCCAAAATAATGCATTTAAGAACATTAAACAAAATTGACACCAACACTTGCAAAATCTGGCTTATAGGGTACAGTATGTTGTTTCAGGTTTGCACAGTACAAAAAAAAATTGGTAACAAGTTTGGCAGACTATAAAGCAGGAATTCTTGATTTCTCAGCTGCCTGAAAGAAATGTGCATCTGTTGTTTTTTCAGATTTTATCTGATATATGTAATATATAAACACTATATATTATATATAATATACATGTGGTGGGTGTGAAACAGTGCTTTTTATGTCTTGATAATCTCAGTAGACAATAATGCAGTTTCTAGTTTGAGAGTGGGGCTCTAAGCAGTATTGTATGAATGTCTGCAAGACTGGTAGTGTCCAGGTTTGGCTCGTTAGTCTTATAAGAACTTCTTTTTTCACTAAATAATACATCACTTGCATTTTGCCTCTAAAAGTCTTTTTACCTTGCTGTTAAGGCCTTCACACTTGGATAATCACATTGGGCCATTATGCAGATTTATAGGAAGAACAGAAGCTTCCAGTGGATTTCCCCTCAGCGTGCAATAAGCTAAATAAGAGAGATTACTAATTGTACTGTCAGTCCTTTAACATCCTTATTGCAGCTTCAAGTGTGATTCAGAAAATATACAGACTATTTGGTGATCCAAATTTATGAGATCTCTCTTTATCCTATACCGCAATTTCCTCTTTAGAAACTTCTACAAACCTTGAAAAATTAAAACTTATCAGTAAACTGTATTGAATGTGTGTAATTCTCTTCCTTCTGTTTGAAAGAAAGTGAAATTCTCATTTTGCGAACTGGTGTTGGTTTAAATGTTCCCATATTTTTAACCCTGCCTAAATTCCCAACGTTTAGTGTATTACTAATACAATTTGGCTAAGGCTCCCAAAGGAATCTTGTTAGGATAATTGAGATTTGCTAACTCTTGAGTAGAGAAAAGCCTATTACAGAGCAAACGATTTTTCAAGTGTGAGCTTTGCTTTTCACTGAGATTATTGGTCTTTAGGTCTAACTTTGCTATATTATATATACAGTGGATTTACTAAGAATAAAGCAGCTAAATTAGGGTTTAAGTTTCCATTCTTTGCCAATTTGTTTTGCCTTATGATGGTAGCCCTAATGAGAACATAAAAGAAACAAGTTCACAGGAATTAATTAGGGTCATTTATACAACTCAAGCTGTCTAAACTTGTCTGAGTTTGGCTCTTGTAAACTGAAAAATAGGCACTTTAACCTCTTTTTAATTAAAATTTATACTCTATACGTGGACCTAAACTAGCCTTTCACAACTGTCATGAAAATTTGCTAACCTAGAAACACAGATTTTTTTTTTTTTTTTGCCCTTTTGACCATGATAATGAAAAAACTAATGATATGGTACTCACCTGTCAGGGGGGAAGGTACATATTCTGGGCAAAGGGAATTGTGCAAGGCTGGTTGAAATTGTTAGACACTGCTCCACCAGCACATTCAGAGGTTCACTGTTCCCTCTGGAGCACCATCACTGTTCTGAGTGCAAGTAGAGGTCATGGTCTGAGAAGAACAGTGGGTAGCACTCTCTGCTTCAGGAAGTCAATCTGCTGCCTCTACAAATTCTCCCAACCCACAGAGCTCAAGACCAACCTCAAACGCTGATTTCTGCTGCCAGATCAGATCCAGGTTATGAACTGGATGTATAGGTTCTAATGTCTCTGCATTTTAATGTATGTTTACAGACTACCATTCTCTTAGATCAATGTAAAGACAGGCCTCAAATTGATTCATCCTCAGATAATTTACAGATCTTTTGCCTTCCTCTCTCACATAGGATTCTGGGAGCAAAGGTGGGTTATGCCTTTAAAGAGGTGGACTGATATTATTGCAGAGGCTTGAGATTTTTTGGCCACTATTAAGCATTCCAGTTGGGTCTCTATGAAAGATCATCTGATCAAGGAAGTTTGAAAAGCCACAAAATAAAGCCTAGATTTTTATTTCCCCCACAAATCCTTACAAGTATGAGTTTACTGTACTACAGTGGCCATCCTTAAAAACTTGCCACTTGCCTTAAATAATCTGCAGTATTTTAGGCATTTCTTCTAATAGGAGCAATGTAGTTTAGCTAATATTGGAGATGAAGTTGTTGTTTATCTAAAGTAAAATTGACAATCTTTCAAGGGTGACCACCAGCCAGAAAGTCAATTGGGCTCCTATTCTGGTTATAGTTCACGATCCTAAAACAATTTGGGAGTCAGGCAAGTTTTAAATTTTTATACATCAAATTAATATAAGAACTATAATTGTGTGTGTGAGTAGAGCTATGAGAAACATTAGAGTCCCAGTCAGTCCCACAAGGAATATTTTGAATAGCCATAATGATGTATTGCGTAATTTGTGTTTGTTGTGAACATTTGTTTAATTTCTTCAGTGTCTCTTGGCAGACACAGACATCCAAAAAGGGGACCACGCTGTGTACCACTCAGCTTTGCTGTTGTAGAATTGATGTAAATAGGCCCAGTGTGTGCAGTGAAGGGAGTATGGCACAGGAGACGTTAAGAAAGGTAGAGTGCCCTATTTAACCATTTCTAAAATATCCTTCAAATCAGGATACTATTCTAGGAACAGGTGCCTTTCCCCATGCAACTTCCTTTGTCTGTCTGTCATAATGTTGACCACTTCATAAACTGGGGTTTGCAGTGAATGAGGAGAAAAGCCATTTAACTTCTAGCCTTTGGGATATTTAAGGAGCAATTTGAATAAACTTTTATACATAGTTTGGTGTTTCTAGGAAAAGCTGGTTCCAGTCGTGGAGCATCATTGCATAAAGTGCTTTTGGGTTAGATGTTATGAGAGAACTGCAAAGTTTTTCTCTCACCAATCAGCCCCCAAACCACAGGAACAAGTTTCGGGGGGGGGGGGAGACTTTCTTGATGGAAAAATCCCTTGGCTGAGTGGCCTGCTTGAACACCTTCTGAATGTATAAGGTGCAAGTGTGATAGATTTAGGTTATAGTTTACCTGCACTTAGTTCTGCATGGCTGCTGTCATGATCAAGGGTATCTTGGTGTTCAGGCAATTGGTTGGAGCAAGAGGACCTCTTGGAGACAATGACTAAATGTAAGATGCATAAGATCAGTTGTAGGGGCAGCCATCTCTGTGTTGTCCGGTTGGATGCTTTCCCTCCATTAAAACAATGTACTGTGTTACTATCCCAACCCTTCTGCAGAATGTAATTCAAAACACATAGCCAAATGCACGTGACTTTCGCTGTCTCAGCCCGAGAGACCGAATGTGGAGTTGATGGCTTAAAGGCTAAGAGATCAGGGATGTAGCTCTGGACCTTTCCTGTCCTCTCTCGGAGTTGATCTACCTCCTCACTCTTACAGAATGTGGTCAGGGTTTGCTTAGTTGGCCCTCAGTTTACCATTGACTTATAAAATGTTGTAATTTTTACAGGAAAAGATCTATAAAGTATTCCATCTTACACTTTAACATAAGAGAATTATGTGCTCTTAGGAGCCTAATAGCAGAGCTTCAGTTGGCCTTCATCTGAATGTGCTTCTAAAAACCTCTAAGCCAGCTCAGCTACCCTCATGGAATCCTAATGTCATCTTTGCACTGCTTTTCAGTCTTCCCTTTGTGCCCTCCATTTATTTCCATGTAGTTTTCAAATATTGAAGTTGCCTTGTTCTTTGCTATTGCTCTAGCGCAGATTATCAGGGAGATAGAGGCCTTATC